TGCTCTGGGCAGGCTCCAGCTCCCAGTGTCTGTGTCACACCCAGGGTGACCTCCCCAGTGTATTTGGGGACCCCAAAGGAAGGGGTGAGGGAGACCTGCATGAAAACTCGGCTTTTTTGGTGGTTTGCACCCCCCCTGCTTTGCTGGGTGAAGTCATGACTGGAGGAGCTGCTGATGGGACTCAGCCCATGACCACAGCCTGATGGAGATTCCAGCTCCCCACCCAGCCCTCCCTGGGGCCCAGTGACAGGTCAGCTCAGCTCACATCCAATGGAAAACTGGCTTGGCTCTATTTTTTTCTTCTTTTTTTTAATTTTTAATTTTCTGTTGTGTTTCAGTTTCAAGGTCAGTTGGAAAAAAAACCCACAAAACAAAACAAAACTGCTGCAAACAAGGGCTCCACCAGTTGGTGACATGGGACCAGCACTACCTGTGGCATCTGGATGCTCTGCCAGGAGCAGTGAGCTGGGGACAATCCCCAGAGGGGGAACAAAGGGGTCTCCACCACTGAGTGACCTGTTCCTGTACCACTGAGAGCTTCCAGCCCTGCAGGGTGTGGAGGTTCCCTGGTCCCACACCAGGGCTGTACCTGGGAGAGGAGGGAGAGTGCTGAGCTAATCCCAGTGGTGGGGAAAGGAGATGGAGAAGGGGAGAAGCAGCATCAGGAGGGCTGGAAGGAAGGTGGAGGTGCCTCCATCAGGGTGGAGGAAGATCCAAGCCCCTCCTGGCTGTGGAAGGATGCTCAGGGCAGCCCAGCATGGATGCCCTGAGCCATGGATAACCTGACCCAGGCACAAGGCCCATCTGGAACTGGTTGGGCACCTCAGAGTTTGCTCTCACCCCCACACAGCCAGCAGCCGGCACAGGGGCTGGGACCCCAGCCCCACCCCAGCCCCTCGGTCCCCAGCATGGCTGCAGTGAAACACCTCCCACATCCAAGAGCTCCTTTCCAAGGCCAAGCCGCCCTTCCCGGGAGCAATGCCACCATCCCCGCCATGTCCCAACAATGCCACCAACCCCGCCATGTCCCTCGCCCCGAGCGCCTCCGGGGGCTCTGTCCTGCCTCTCTCTTTGTGTCCCTTTTGTCATGTCCGTGGCTCCAGCTCTGTTCCCGTTGCCTCCCCCGGGTCACCCCGAGCTCGGGAATTCCCGCAGCTCGCCACGCTGCGCTGAGCACGTTCCGCTCCCGCCTGTCCCCGCTAATTAGCGCGGCTGACCGAGTTTCCTTCATCAGCGCTAATTGGCCCGGTCTGTGTTCGCGGCTTCCCCTTCCTGGCTCTCGCCGTGCCCTGCGGTGATTTCAGCGAGAGAGAGAAGGGAAATGAAATGGAGCTGGAGGTGCTCCCTCAGTGCATCTGACACCGTCCTGACACCGACACCCGCAGCTGGGACACGGGGACACCGCGGGGCTCAGGGCACCGGGGAGGCTCCTCGAGCCAAACCCAGCCCTGGAGCTCTGCAAAGCCTCTTTGTTCCCTGCCAGTGGTGGCTGTCACCCCCCTGGGGACCCGCTTGTGTGACCATCCCCGGTTCCTTCACCACTCAGGCACCCGGTGGCATCACCAACCAAGCGGGCAGTGGTGCCCAGTGCCATGGAATGAAGCCACCTGGCTGTGACAGGTGCTGGGGACAGCCCGTGGGTGGCACCTGGGAGCGCTCAGCCCTGCTGCCCATTAGCTGCAGGTCGATGGCATTGATCCCCCTGGAGCTGTCCGTGATGCAGCCCAGGTGACCCAGCACGGAGGGACGACAGCTCGGGGTGGGGACAGAGGACACGGTGACAAGACAGGGCCCCAGAGCAGCAAATCCCTGCCCTGGCACTGCCCTGACCTCCCCTGTGGTCTGTGACCGCCTGTCCCAAAGGAGGACACCCCTCGTGTGTGTGTGTGACCAGGGCTGTCCCCGTGGGCATGGGGAGGCGGGAGGGCTGGGGCTGTGGGGTGCAAGGGGATTTGGGGTGAGGGATGCCCCTCTGAGAGGTGCATGGGGATTCTCAGGGGTCTGTGTGCAGCTGGAGGGGGATTTGGTGTCTCTATGGGGCACTGGGGGATTTGGGGGTGTCTGTCAGTCTGCAAGGGGGGCTCAGGGGTGCTCACTGTGGGAAAGGGCAAAACTGGAGGGGTTTGGGGTACAGAGCTGCACCTGGACACTGGGTGGGGATGGATGGGAACACATGGATGGGGACTGCGCCCTGCACTCCTCCTGTGCTCTACTAACAGGGGGGAGCAGCCCCAACCCCCAATCTCGGGCTCTATCTGTCTGTCTGTCTCTTGGGTCGGCGCTGCCCCCGCCTCCTCCACCCTCCCCCTCACATCTGGCCAGCAGCAGCTTATTTTTTCCTCCAGGGTTGCGACATCCTGAGCCACGGGATGTTTTTCCTGAGCCTGTGCTGGACCCCTGGAGGGGGAGGGTGGGAGGATTGTCTTGGCCAGGGAGCTCCAGTGACAATATCTGAGTGCCCTCCCACCCACCGTCCCCAAGGGCAGAGAGGGGGAAAAGCAAATCAGACCAGGGCTGGAGAAAGGAGAGTGGATTCCTGCTGAGGATGGGGAAGGGTGATGGAATCCCAGCTGGGTCTGGTTCTCCAGATCCTCCAGGACTGGGCAACAGTGACCAGATCCCTACAGGGATGGAGAGGGGCAGCCGGAGCCTCTTGGGGCTGCAGCTACCGACCCCATCACGTCCTCAGTCATGATCCACAGCCAGGTCATGCTCCACTCAAAGGCCTGGGTGACCACAGGATGGGGGTGCCACCAGAGCAGGCCTGGGGGCACAAGACTAAGGGTGCCCCTAGAGCATCCCCACTGCTGGAGCCAAATGGGCTGAATGACCCCCTGTTAGCCAGACCCCACCTGTGCCTCCCTTTCCCCACCAGAATAAACACCATTCATTCAGAAGAAACCATTTTATTATTTTTTTTCCCAAAGAAAAAAAGCAATATAAATATTAGAGTATAAAACTTGCGTGTAACACATCGACGTTGGTCTATATGGGTATAAGAAGGATATAAGCATATATATAATATATAAGTATAATTCAATATTAGACACATTGAAAGGGCAAACGTGTTTCATTTCACGCACACTCGGAGCACAGACCACATGGAAAGAAGATACAGAGAAAATTGAAAATACTGATGTCCACAAGTTAGTTACTGCAATTAAAAATAACACGCCACTAAATACACGACACTCACTATGCTACCTCAGATTTGCAGATTAAAAAGAAAATATAAAGACTACGATTCAGCTACAGCATTTCTAGAGGGGGGGCAGGTGGCAGCTGCAGGGGACAGGGTGGGAACCGCTCCCAGTGCAGCCAGCGCCGGAGGTGGCTGATCTGGATGGAACACGGAGGATGCTCCTGCTGCCCTGTTTGGGGAGGGGGCAGGGGTGGGGAGAGCCTGGCTGAAAGGGCTGGGTCTGCTCGGGTGAGTTACGTGTTAGTGATTAAAAAAGGAAAAAAACAACACAAACCCCCCTGGGAAACTCGGTGTGGCCCCTTCCGGGCCACCCCACAGCTCCTCTCCTGGCTCTGGCTACACAAAGCCCCCATCTGCCTCTCCCGGGGGCTCAGAGCTGCTTTGCTATGGGAAGCTGGCCTGGTGCTCTGGTGATGGGCACATGGAGAAACTCTAATCCTCATCCTTCCATTCTCCCTGCAGGATACAAAGCCCAAAGCCAGTGGAAGCGTCACCTCCTCCTCCAGGCTGGCCCCGCACAGCCCCATGTGCCACTCCCCAGTCACTGCCCCCATTTTGCAGCATCACCCCTGCTCTTGCGTCCCTTGTCTAGATCTGGTCCCCAAACACCACCAAAACAACCATCACTTACTCAGCCACCAACTCTGCACCAAAGCCATGCACCGGCAGCTCCGCGGATCCCACCCTTTGGGCGAGACCCCCAGAACCGCCCGACCGCCCCAAAGAACCAAACTAGAAGCAATATTGAGTTTCCCCAGCCCGCCTGAGCCATCCCACCCCCTCCCACCCCTTCCCCAGGGCAGCCCGGGCGGCTGCCGGCGCGTTCACACCACGTGGGCATGCGAGGACTGTGCGGGTCCGTGGAGCTACGGCGCTAGTGCAGGTGTGAGGAGAGGGACGTGCATGCAGACACCGTGTGCAGACAGTGAAACCCCGTCCCTGTGTCCCTGGGGGACCTGGCCAGGCCTGGCCGCGGGGGAGCGAGGCTCTCTTAGCCTTAATTCCATAAGAACATCGACTGTACATATAAATATTTACTGCAAAGAAGGTTTGAGATGTGTCTGCTCTTCGGAGACCCCTAGAACCGCCGGGGCAGCTGCCGCACACCTCGGCATGCTCCTCATGGAATTCCCTGACTCTCACACAGCTGGAGGGCTTTTTTCCTTATCATATTTCAGGCCATTAGTGGTTACACTTTAAAAAAATTAAAAATGCTTAGGATGCAGCTTTGCCATATTCCCTTTGACTCATGCAATATAAACACTTTTTTTTTTTTTTTCAGATGACAGGTAAGCAGGAACTGAAGCACTCCCTACCAACTTCCAAATTCCAAAATCCATCGCTATCATTGACTGGGGGTGAATTTTACGAATGGAAAATTTAACAGCAAAGAATTGGAGAATGGGCTTTAAGCTAAGAACTTCCTTTTCCTTTCCAAAAAATAGCTGAAGGGCTATAAATTAAAAGATCCACATTAAAATTATTTACACTGGGCAAAGCCGAGTACAAGCCTTGTGCCTTTCTTGGACTACCTGGGAGCAAATTGGATCCAAAGACATGGCAAAAGACCTTCCGCCCTTGCATATTCTAATACCCGAGGGATTGTATAAAACATTATTCACAGGGCACTTGTTTGTGTTGGGTTTAGATTCCGGATTGGTTTTCATCATGAGACCTGAGAGCAGCGAGCCCCTGCTCTCAGCCCTGATGATGATGAGATACATTCGCAGCATTTCCTACTTTTGCACCACAAAAAAAATTCACATTCGTCCTCCGGCCTGGGCTGTGGTTTTGGGGGAGTGCTGGAGCCGGCTGCCCTGTAGCTCTAAGGTCTCCTTTTTCTTCTTCACTACTTCTTCTCCTTCTTCCCGGATTTCTTCTTGTTGCCCCCGGCGGGG